CAACTTATTGATCGACATTCAGCACTACAAACGTCGCATAAGGAAGATTCCGACCGCATTCCATTCACTCTCACGTTTCACCCTCACAACCACTCAGTTAAATCCATCATTCTTAAAAACTTTAAATTACTTCAAAACGATCCAGAGACAAGCACTATCTTTTCGCAGCCTCCGCTCATTTCATTCAAACGCGACAAAAACATAGGCAATTTTTTGGTCAGAAGTTCTTTTCAGACTAATGACCAACCAGGCACTTTTAAATGCGCTCGTGCACGATGCAAAACGTGTCCTTTCATTCACAACACTGATAAAATATCGGGACCTAAACGATCCATTAAGATCACCGATCACTTCACGTGCACCTCCGCCAATGTAATCTATTGCATAACTTGCACTTATTGCAAAAAGATATACATCGGCGAAACAGGCAGAAGACTAGGTGACCGATTCCGAGAACACCTTCGAGACGTGGAAAGGAATGACAAGGACACATCGAAACCAGTCGCTAGACATTTTAATTTACCTAATCATTCTAAGCAACATATGGCAATCTGCGGTCTTTCCTTGCACTTAGGTGGCACGGAAAGCCGTAAAAATCTTGAACAAAAGCTCATCTTTCAAACCGGCAGTCTAAATCCCACAGGGATCAATGAACGCTTTTCATTCCACTAATTTATTCATGTTTTTCTCGTTGCCATGCACCCACCAATAACGTAGCTCCATTTTCTGCCTTTAAAAGCACACACAACCCACAATTCCTCTATTCGCTCCGACGAAGGGCTAACGCTCGAAACGTCAGCTTTTGTAATCATTACGGTGGCCAATTTACCATTTCAACTTTGTTGATATATCCAAATTATTTCGTTACTCCCACCGACGCAGCCCCAAACAGTTTCTTTCGAAACTATCAGCCTTTAATCAACAAACCAGTCTCGAGACTTTGAGCAACACGCGACGAGAAATTTTCGAGGTAGCCAAGTATTGAGAGCTGTAAAGAAGCTCTTAAACCATTGACTCCTGAGGTCAGGAGTGATTAGCATCTGATATCTCCTTACTGTACTACCCCTGAATCAATCATTAAAGTCACGAGAAGAAAGGAAACGATCATCAACTAAAAGCTGATTGTTGAACAAATTCGTCCCTGTCAGCTCCTTAGAAAGTGTATAGAGAACAGTATGGAGAATATGCATACTGATGTTAGGGTGTAAAGGGTTAATCATTAGTAGCAGAAGCAGTTAAGAAGAAAATGAACTAATTAACGGGAGAGAACAGGTTTCAACAACTATTCAACTGATGAAATGTTTCTTGAAATATACCAAGGAACAAGAGAAACATTCTTCTTTGCAAGTAAAATGTTATACCTGAGGAATGGCTTGTTCTACGGGGTGAGCAACTGCTGGCGTCATCATCGTCATCGTCTTCATCGTCATCGTCATCATCATAGTCACTGTTGATGTCACTCGAACTGTTATTTCCGTCATCCAGTTCACTGCATCCATCCAGACTCTCATGATAACCATTATAATTGACGTGCCTGAGGCCGTCCGGGAGAAAGCTGTGAAGGTCCTGATGGGGGATCTCTGAGGAGCAATAAAGAGATGTGGGAGGAGGGGGCTTGCCGTGGTGTGGATGAAAGTAATTGCTGTGAATTTGATTCTTGTTCGGAGGGGAAGCGTGGACTGTAGGGAAGGGGTGGGTGGTAAAGTTCTTGTTCTCGGTTTTTAGTCTTGTTTCCTGATCCTTTATACCATGATAGGGGCACTTGCTGCACTGGCATTCGGCCATCTTGATACCATTCGTAGGCTATAAGAGAAACAAAGAAAACCTTAAACTAGTGGTGGTTACACTTACCTCTTTCTACATCAAGTTGATAAGTTTTTCTCCTAGCTACGGTAACTGAAGTGTTTGAATTGTTCGATTAAGGAAACAGCACATCGATATCAGTCAACACCCAGAACTAAACTCCCTGAATAGTACAGGATGTAAATGTATAGGGGAATCCTTGTTTACAATATTTGCCTCATTAGCATAAGCAATTCAGTTTCTGATGGAGCTAAATATAAATCAGTTCTGAATATCGAAAGGTCAAAGTACGATTAACTCGGCCAATGAATACGAGCCTAATGCATTGAATACTTTTTGTGCAACACGGGTTTAAAAACTCAAAATTTTATATAGAAATGTTGAGCTCATTAGCGCTTTTGCCACCCAGAAATTTTGCAGTTTTTGATGGACTATTTCTCCTTGAATATTACCCCCAAAGAGCTAAAAATTTCACCATGTACTAAGGTTTTCTAGCTCTTTAGCTGCCTGAAGTCAATTTGTATCTAACATGCTTCCTTCTTTACGCAAAGCCGTATGCAAATGAGCAAAAATGTAAATAATGACGTCAGCACGAATCCGCCTATAAGTACTGAACTGTACGGTAATGAAGTGTATTAGATTACAGCGTACTGAACTGGAATTGGTGAACTGCTCAGGGCCCAGTTGTTCAAAGGACGGAAAATGTTATCCAACGGATAACCCGCTATCCAGCAAATAAGTGTTACCAAAACCTACTGTGCTATCCACCGGAGAGCGTTATCCACTTTTCGAACAACCGGGACCAGAACTGTAACACACTTTTCTGTTCTACTCTGTACTTAAATGCACTGCCATTGCAGTCAACATCTACATGCCTCTGGTTTTACAAGGACAGCACACAGCCCAAAATTAAACGAATAACCCCACACAAAAAAAAAACAACAACACATCTTTCACTTTCAAGTTTTCTCTGCCTTTGTTTACGTAAAGGTGATATAATCAAGGTATCATACCTGCACTGGGCTTTTAACACCTTCCCTGTACCCAGTTGTGCCACTACATGCTGGACACTGGCAAACATTTGCCGCACCGTTCATCATGAGAGGTGGCGGCGGCAGCAGTTGGGAGGGAGGAATACTATGTAAGTCATTAGCCACCAGCAGGTGGGGACTGAACTTTGGTAGTGATACGGGGTTCGTCCGTTGCATCTTGTTACCAGCTGTGTTATGACTGGATGCTACAGCTGAGATATGATTGCTGCAGGGTTTTGTGTGTGAAGTTGCTGTTTTAAAAGGTGATAACGATGGTACTGGTGAATTGAGGGGCGATGAAGGAACACTGCAGTGACCACAATGACACCTATGTGGTAAGAATTAAGACATTTAACAAACGTAGCGATCCATGTATCTATGGTGGTAACAAGTTACAGTGAAAGCGTTATCTTTCTCTCAGTTTAGCACACATATAACTAAGTTTTGTCATGACGTTTTACGTTATGTCACATGTACGTGTTTATATCTGAGCCTTAAAAAATACTTGGTGGAACCAATAATACAATTGTGACGTCTCATGGAAAAATGTACACTAACGACTTTCCGTTAAACGGGTAAAACGCACGGCTACCGAACGGGTAACAAACGGGTAACTCACCCGTTCGAACGGATACTATCGAACGGCTAAACAGGTTATCAAGTAATTACTGTACATTCATGTAGCAAGAAATTTAAGTATGGGTAGTAACATGATATCGAGCACAACTTGGTGTTAATAGGCATGAGTACATTAAGCCCATAAGGTGAGTGCAATTTGTGGTCTTTGAAAAATATACAAATGCTCACTTACACCAAATTGCACTTGAAATCATGCTATTACTTATAAATAGTCTACACGAGAAAAAGCATCACAGAAAGTCATAGAGACTAAATTTTGTACTACAACTTTGCACTGGTGTTGTCAGCCAATCTGAAGCACATAATACTTTCACATATTATTACATTGCATATCAAATTTTGATTTTAATTGACCAGAGAAACTGCTTTATAAATCACTTTTGATGGCTTTGATTTTAATTAAACAAAACCAAGTGAACAGATTGGTAATAAAAAAAAAAAGTTGAGCATTGAACTGTACAAGATATCTTTATCACATCAGCAAGGGAACAAATTGTTTCACTTGAACTTAAGACATTCAATGAAATGTTAAACATCAAAACAAATTACGTTGTAAGCTAGAGGACTCTTAAGCAATTAAAAACTTACTTTTGTTGAGTGGGCTTCTTGGAACCCTGTTTAGGAAAAATAAAAATAAATAGTATATTTGCTTAGCGGCCACAAGAAACATTCCCACAAAATCCACAGAAGCGTTGTTCCCGTTCACTTAGAAAAATCTTCGAAACTTGACCGTCATTTCATTGCCTTTGCAAATACCATTGCAGTATGATTATACTTTTTATTCTTGAGGAGCAGGAAGGTGTATATCTACAACTGCACTGATTTTAGGATACAAGTTCACTGAAATAAATTACTAACCTGTACTATTCTATTTTTCCACTCTTCTCCTGTAGAATCATCTTCCCACTCCACTTTAGGTATGCCAGTTTTTTCGCGCAGTTTAGCCTAGGAGTTAAAATTTACGTCATAAAATTCCTGAAATAACTGGGTGGTAAGATAAAGTTTACAGTTCTAGAAGTACATGTGCATTGTCAAAGAAAATGGGGAAGAGTTGTAAAAACAAAATAAAATATCTTAGTTTGCATTTACCTGTGTTTCTTTATAGAATTTGAAAGCTCTCTCACTCTCTTTCCATGAAAACTCAATCTCTGTGAGATCATCCGTAAAATTAAGGTACCTTAATACAAACAAAAATGGGTTTAAAAATAGCACTAATAGTGACAATGAGAGGTAGATAAAGACCCTATTCAATCCATAATTTTGGGAGATTTAAAATTAAACCCATCTGCACATCTGAGACAAGTAGTTTTTGGTTCTGACAACTAAAAACTGGTGTGGCACTTGTTCAACTGGAGACAAAATTTATCTTTATTGTTTTCCTTCCAAACTCGAAAGAAACTCACAAACAGTGATCACAAATAATCCACACTTTTAACCTGAGTAGAATTAATTGTTTTAAAAGATATGACATAATTGGAAAATCAAGCACTAACGCTGTTCCTAGGTGCTCAAGGACGAAAGGACTTATGGGTCTTTATGCATTGTCATCTTGTTACAATCCAACTTAGATAATGTTATGTTTCCTCCATGAGGAAACAACTGGACTATTTGTCGCATGCAGCTAAGTGCTTGGGAGCATTTAAAAACATGACCATGGTAATCTTTCAAACAAGTCTCATATGATCTGAACTAGGTGGCACCAAAGTTACAAATGCATCAGCCAAATCCATGTACCTCAATAGCAATGAAAACCAAGGCAGAAGAATAGAGAACCATGTCATGGTTCTTTATACCTTTCATGGGGATACAGTAGGCTAAACTCAAAGATTACTGCAAACTAAATTAATTAGACTAACCTGTGTAGTAAGTTTGGGAATGTGTCTTGATGAAAATTCTCTTTAGCAACAGCACCTAGTCTGAAAACAAAAAAGAGGTTTTAAGCACACACGCAGAGCAGAAGATAAATGTAAACCAAAATGTCCTGGTCTAATCAATGTACATTAAAAATCTTTTTTATATTAATTAATTATTTATTCACTTGTAATTACCTTAGCTGTGTAATGAGCCCAGGAAGGTTGCCATACACTGCAGGGTCCCGATAAATTTCAGTGTAAAAGAGGTGTTTGTGTAAGAGATCCCAATTCAAACCAAACTCCTTTAAATGGTCAACATCCTATGGAATGCACAGAGAGCAAATTTATATACAATAGAAAAAAATATTACAATTTACTTGATGCCAATTATGTTACGTAAACAAACATTTGTAACAATGTCACTTTGTAATCATTGTAAGTACACCTGCTCTGAGTAGTTTAAAAGATGGATAGTGCTTTCATATTAACCTATTGACGTCCAGTGCGCCCGTATGCGCCCATGTGGACCCACACCCTTTCTACGCCTTGTGACGTCATCACTTTTAATCCTGGAACACAACTTTGAGCATGTACTTTGAACAGGTTGAAAATATCTTACAAACCATACCAGAATGAGTGCAATTGAGTGATGGAGATTGGAGAAATAGCCAAAAAACCATGTAACTTTGACCTGAAAATCTGTACGAAAATCTTGTTCCATTACCCACCTACCTTTCTGAGCATGTGGTTTGAAAAAAATGAGTAGTTTCCTAAAAAATCTCTACACCAAAATGAAGCCTACTAAATTTCCAGCAAGTGAGGAGAAACTTCAGGCAAGGAGAGGGGAAAAAAAGGGCAGGAGAAAGAGAGAAAAGTAAAATTCATAAGTGGGGCATTACTTTTCAACCCTCGAAATTTTGCTTTCTGAGCGTGCCCGAGATTTTCAGCCCGCCATTTTGCATTTGGATCGAAAGGCCATCGAGTGTATGAGCTGTCAATGGGTTTTTGGTAAGTTTGAGGTTTTAAAACCACAACAGTGACGCAAAATCTGCTCGACTAGCTTCAAAACACAGTTTTTCACAAAAGCTGCAGCCATTAATGGGTTAATTACATGTAAATGAAAAGAATCACCTGACTTTCACTTAGAAATTCAAGACTATTTCAAATCTCTTCTCCTGTCTGACAAAGTTTCAGGAGGTTTTAAAATTATTCCTTTAAAAGTGGCTTCCAACAGTAAAATAAATGGCTGTGACTATGATAAGGGGCAAATGAATAATAAAAATGAAAAAAATTTAAAAATGAAAAAAAATTGGTAAGAAATTGAGTGAAAATAAAAATAAAAATTTTGATGCACAGTGTAAGGCTGATATGGCCTTACCTGCTTCCCTTCCTTACAAAAAATCAGTGGCAATTTTGAAACAAAAAATTTCAGATGAATGGTACAACTGCAATTATCATTATCAATACTTCTTACCAGCTTGGAAAAGAATGGTCTGAGGATATCAAAAGCCTTTGACAGGGCTTGGTATTCATCCAGTAACATTGTAAAAAATTCTTTTGCATGGTTTGGGGACAAGGGACATGAAGTCAAATATCTAACAAGGCGTACTTTCACTTCTCGAACATATTCCCTGGAAAGAAATAGAACAAAAAGATCACATTAGCTAAACTCCAGGAAAGGATTTCTACTCTAAATTATGTACATCAGATTTACGCAAGACTAACTGCAACACAACACTTGATCTAAACAAACATATAACAGAGAACCATTCTGTGTTCATGTAAAAGGAAACAAGCACTTGGTACACTTATTAGGGCCAACTCTTGTATAATACATAGATCTTATTAAACATTTTGTTGTGTAGTATCACTGAGTATTTTTACAAGTTGTGCCATATTTTGATGAGCCAGTAGGGGCGTGTCAAAATATAAACAATGAGTAAAAATACTCACCAATACTACACAACAAAATGTCTAATAAGAGATTTATTATCCAACAAGCCAAACTGTTTTTTCAGTGTGGGCAAATATTTAACCAGTTGTCTGGAGTACAAAATACCACGAGATACTTGTAGTTGTTTTGGGCATTATTTGTACTCTACAAAGCCCACTTGGACAATAATTCTGTATAATGGGTAGTTCAAACACTCCTTATGTCTATTTGTTTTATACCTCCTCTCTTTCTTAAGCCAGCATATGAACCACAAACATTGGCTAAAAAATTTCAAAACCAAGAAAAATGTCTCCTTGTTCTACAGTGTTCCTACTTGTATACTGATTCCATACCCTACATCTCCCTGTATGTATATATATATATATTTTTTTTTTTCTACAAAACCATATTTTCATACAAAGCACAACCATTTCCTTACTTGCCACTTAATGTACACACAATTTGTTTAGAGGTATGTATCTTTGACTGTCTCAAAAACAAACACACACACACACAAAAAAAAATGGTCCTGTACATGCACTCATACACTCTACATACCTTGCTTGAATTTCAAGTTTTTCAAACAACTGAGCTGGATCACTCTTAAGTAATCTACAAAGAGTTTAGAATCAACCAATTACAATTGCACACATACAATGCAGTCACTGGTGACAGAAAAAAAAAAAACAGAACAACAATAGAAGTATGTTGTACAAATATGGTTTGCCATCTAGAGGAGCTAAAGCAGACCAGACTGTATCAAAGACTGTAATAGTTCACCAGCTTGCAGGTGTTAAGTTCAAAACTTTTATAAATTAAAAGAAAACAAATTAAACAAATAGCAATGTTAAAACTGTACAAAATTGTCTGAATTATAAAAATAAGAGTATAAAATAATAGAATAATTTTAGAATATAAAATGAAAATAGATTAAATGGGCCAGGCATTTCTGGTTCTTTGAGTTCCTTTCAAACTATTGATTATTTTAGAAAAAGTCAGGTTGGAAGCTCTACAGTTAGGGAGCCAAATCACTGCAGGATTTTAGCTCTAGGATAGAGGTGAAGGCCTCAGAGTGTTAAAATGATAAAAAGAATTAACATGTATTCAACTGCTGATTTCCATCCTAAAGAAGCCCCTGGCCCTTCTATCACAGCATCTTTATATTATAATGGGGGTACTCACTTGTCTACTTTGACTCTGAGTCTATTCTCATCTAAAGAATTTTTAACAGTTTCTTCCCCATCTAAAATGTTAAGAACACGATAATGATTGATTTTATGTGTGAAATAAAATTATGTGTAAAGATAAAAGCAACTTTCAAGCATAAATGTGCAGAAAAAAGACAATCATTGTGACTTTACAATTTGATTGCTCTCCAACAACTGGGATGGTTAAATGGAAACCAAGTCAAACCATCACCATAAAGAAATTCACCAAACTACAGAGTGTTAACACAAGCTGTTTGACATTCCTCCATGTGTCCGGACCAACACTCAAGGTCTTAAAATAACTGAGGAGAATGTGCTACCTTTCTATAATATCAAGAAATGGATAGACATTCTAGTCTTCTCGGATAAGCATGAATAAACTGTAGGCCCAACTCCTGCAGCTATTAATTAGTTAATTTGGTTAGGCAGGGACGTTAAAGAGCCTACTCATGAGATTACTGTGTTGTGGTCTGGCCTGTTTACTGGGAATTGGGGGGGAGGGAGCATCTTCAAATAAGTTTCCTTCGATTGTTTGTACACTGCTGATGCAGTCTGGCCAAAATCCCCCGAAAAGTCTTGTGGTGCGCATTTGATCGTATCCACATGTTAATTTGCGCAATATAAAAAATTAATATTAAATTATTATTATTATTATTATTATTATTATTATTATTATTATTATTATGTGTTTGTGGAGGAATGACAAACAACTCCCATCAGCACCAAGGAATGATGGCAAGTGAGCTACATGTAAACTAAGTGGGTATGAAAGAGAGATGACTGCTACTGTTTGGTTGACAGAATTGAGCCTAAACCTTTTATCCACATAACCAGACCTTCTGCAGGAGTTCTTTTTTTCGAAGAAGGGAACTTATGCATCCACTCAGTAGTGTGACATACATGTACATGTCGTCTGACACAGTGGTGAAAATGGTTAAATGTCTAAATCAGTATGAATCGTGTACCCTGTTATTCAAATGTTCTTCTAATTACCATATGAAAAGAAGCAACTGAATTTAACTTCACAACACAAATACAACTCTAATTTGCAAAATTATTTTATAAAGCTAAATGTGAGACAGTAGCACCCACATTTATAACCATTCACAGAGTAAATACAATACTTCTCTGGCTGAAACAGTGTTACAGACAAGCAACATGTACTATATTCTATTGGTAGATATATTCATAAAGTCAACGCAGTTGTCTTTCATGTCATGACCTTCACTTCCCACCCTCTCACACTCTGACAGGCCTTCACTACACAACATAACAATAAGTATATTGCATAAGTAGCAGGGTACTACACTGTACATATTAAATAGTTATTGTTCCATTCACCTGCTAAAGGCGTTCCAGCCTCTCTGTATATACACCTAACAATGTTCTTAACCTCTCCCCAACAACACTAGAGACAAAAAAAGAGGCTACAATCAAAGCTAATTCACATGCACGCATAAACATTTACACATTGTTTCAAAGTGTCAGTATAATACACAGGTGACTGACAAGTTAAAGTGACAATGTTGCAGGGTATGTTTGGAGAATAATCCAATATATATATATATGTAAAAATTCTAATGCGCCACAAGTATAACTGAACTTACCCGCAGTTGTTGTCTCTCTTTCTCCTTAACTTCAGCAGCTTTTATTGTATCTTGCTTTGCAGGACTGTGCACATAAAAAAGAGCACAGACACATAATTATGTTTACAATGCACATACAGATGAGAAGATAAAATGCTCACTACTGCAGCACAAAATCATTATGTCTAATGTATGTGTAGTTATGTCTGAGTGGTTCCATATCATCAGCAAATGTGCCTATCTCCTTCAATGACCATACACTTGTTTAAAGCTGTAAGTTCTCTTGTAGAGATTGTGATTAGTAAAACTGAAGTCTCCCTGCAAGAGACAAGCCTCTGTTAAAAGTCAGGTCACTCATCCCAGCTTACCATCAATACCTACACATACTGAATAACTTCTTTGAAAATGGATCACTAATTTTCTTCATTGCATTATGCATGCACAAGGAGCAACAGAGCAAAATATGTAACCTTCTATTGCAGTTTTGGTGAAAGCACTTTGATTGTTGCTCAAAAGATTTGGTTGTGATAGAGAGAGTGAGATTCAAAGACGGCTTTTCCATCAAGTCTTGCTTCTGTGAATAAAGATTGAGAAATTTACGAGTACATGTAAGTATCTCACAGATACATCTGTCAATAAACAAGTCATGATATAAATAAAGAGACAAGCAACTAGACAAAAGATTGTTCATAAGTTAAAAAGGTAAAATTTACAGTGAACCAAAAAAATGTGAAGAAGTCAGTTGTTGAGACAAAGACATAAGCCTGAAGACCTTGACAGAGTCCCTACATGTACATGTACATTTGTACATTCCAACTAACTTACAGGTATTGATGGTTCCATTGCTGCCCTTCGTTCTTCCTCTTCAATACTTCTTCTACACTCTGGACACACCCACAGTGGAACCTACCATAAAAAAGGGCAAAAAAGTAAAATTTGTATGTGTTGTTTGTACAACTGGCTGCCTGCCTCCTTTAATTTTCTCTTTTTAAATAATTAGAATTTAAAAATTTGTTCTGTGGACCAAAGATCTTTATAGCACAGTGGCATGGCACTGCAGCAAGGAATCAGAAAGTCTGAGGTTGGAGGACACAGACTTCATATTTGTATTATGACTGGGGCAAGAAGAACATCTTTCATTGTGCTTCTTCTGATTCACATATAGAACTAGTAGGAAATAATGGAATCCACTTGTTACACTGATCTAGAAATACCTTACCTGTGACATTGAAGTTCCATTAGGATTTGATGTTTGAGATGAAGATTTGGAAGGTTCTCCTACAATAAAAGTTGCGATTCATATGAGTACTGATCTCATTCCTTGCAGCTCATCATTATTCATTCATCAACTCTTTGATGGCCCACTTAAGGATACAGTAGACCTTGAAGGGCCAATTTTTTAAGCATAAAGCAATTTTTCTGCAATTCCCAGGTAAAAAAATTGTAAAATATCACAACACATGCAGCTTCTTTGCAAAACATATTTTTTACCAAATTCTTGAGCCTGTCAAAGCGAGAATGGCCAATTAAAAATAGACTACATAATTAAACAATTCCTTGGAAGATTTCCCTGGCTGTAAGAGTTAGAAAAAAAAAGAGAAAATCTACAAGGAATGGACAGTCTATAAAGATATCTCACTGAGATGGGTTTCCAGTTTGAGAAATGTTTGTGGCTCACACTCAACCAGCAACCATTAAAAAGTTCTACCGCTGCTAAAAACTTGAAACTGAAATTGCTGGCAAGCAGAATTGAACCAAGGTCTGTCACATGCAAGATAGCTTCCAACAAGATATGCTTTTGCTACAAGTCTCATGGGTTGCCTCTGTGTTTCAATTGGCAGTTGGTGAGCAAACTTGAAAAAAGAATTGCAAAGAAACCATAGGAACATTGAAAAAAACCCCAGATGGTTTTGAAAATTAACCCTTTACGACTGATATTGTGCAGAAGTTTTATCAGAGCAGTAAGATTTGATACCTGTTTAATTCACACAAAGAGACATTGTCTGTTCAGAATTTTTTTAAAGTCAGTTTACAATTACATCAAGTTAAAATGAAACATGTTTTGCCAAATAGTTCATTTCGTAAACTTTCCATCACTGGGAGCTATGCTTCAAAAATCGTGTTAACAATTTTTAGGCAAAGGATACCTGCAAAGGTCTACTGCATTCTTAAATAGGCTAAAAGTACACAAAGGTCAAGCAACTTATTGTCTCTAAAATTACATGCAACTTAATAAAGTTGTCTGCAAAATTATAGCCACAGAATAAGAGAAATATAGGACCTTTCTTAAAAAATTGAACTCAGCCAGAAAAAAATTGTTGTAACCATTTCTAATTTTATCCAGCAATGTTGTCCTTTTTGGCTCTGGTGTGTTTTCACTTACATCTACTAAAACCTAAACTATAGTCTCATAAGCCAAAAGGTCAGAGCTAAAAATAATTCAAATTGCGTGACCAAACTCATTTCAAACTACTTTGCCATCGAAAACAACTTTAAAAAAGTTTAAAGGGACTTAGCTCAGTTGTTACCATGTTTATATGGAAACATAATTGTTCAACTTTGAGATTATTTATGAACAATTTGTGAAAAGCTAGAACAGAATGATGAAAAAAAATTTCAGTGATCTGCAAATAGTGACAAGGCACACTGGACTTGTAACTTGTTTCAATTGTATTTAAAGCTGTACATTCTCTTTCAACAAATAAAATGACACATAAAAATGCAGATACAATGATATACAGTTATAGTTTCCTAACCTTTTTTGTTTCTCTCATAACGTTCTTTGTGACAAAGAAGACAGCGTTCACCATCTATCGTTGGAGTTCCAGCCTTTGGTGAGTTGTCATCGCTGGAAGTATTATTCAGTAGCTGCTAGATGAAACAAAAAATGTATATTGTGAAAAGTGAAACTATGTTTTCTAACGAACATCTGTGTTAGAGTGGTTGCTAATGGTTAAAAGTTTAGATACTTTGACTTTACTATTAATGTCACAAATGAGTTTAAATGCTTTAACTTTTCCTCAATATCCAGAAAGATAAGGAAAGGTACTGTACAAAGTCTGCATTTTGAGAAGTGCTTGTTTACACAAAAAGTTTGAAAGACTAATGTACTTGTTGCCACTAATACAAGTTCTTTAGTTTTCCTTTGTATTGCTCTCAAGGATATTCTGTTACTTTTTTTTTTTGCATTTCTTTCCTTTGTTTTGTATCATTCATACAAGTTCTTTACCAAAAATTTTATTCATTCAGCTTTAATGTTTAACTAGGCTGGATCCTTTTTTCCAATTGCTATACATTGTTTATGTAATCTTAAGCCAGCAATTTGTCACAGGATCTCATACAATGTTTGTAAATGTCTATTGTCCATTATTGTGTTTCCTAGTTTGTCAATTTCTTTACAATTTCAATTGTAGTAAGTTATTGTTTGTAATTTTATTTTAGCAACCACTTTCTTTAGTATTCATTTTCCTTCAATTGTTATCTACACTTCAAGAGTTAATTTCATTTGGATTGTTCATCTGTTCATTTCATTTGGATTGAAGCATATTAAAGAGCGTGTTATGTTTGAACATGAACATGTGTTTTGACCAACATAGTACTTATTGCCATTGGGACATACACAGTTGACGGTTTTGCTATCAAATCTACATCCAAGTTTAAAAACCTGATTAGCATCGGCAGGATGATTCAAACACACTATACAGTGAATTACATCGTCATTTACAATATGCATTACCAATAAAAAATTTATTAATTTTGTAAGAATATTGAAACTCTTTGACATTATAATTTCTTGGCTAATTACTTTTTTGTGGAGATCAACTCCAAAAAAAAGCTGCTTAAAAAAAAAGAATGATTCCCGTGCTGAAAAATGTTCAGTTGACAATCATTTCTTCTACACACAACATTGACTTATTGCACATTAAAATTTGAATTTAAGCGAAAATCACTTGTCTAGGGCAAGAGAACACTGGTCTCATTACACCCTGACCATCCAATCTAATTAAAAAAGTAAAAAAAATGTTTTTCTCTTCAGCCTTTTTCAGACTAAGTTCTCAAGGAGTATTTACTGTTGTGTATTACTTGCACTTGAAACAGAGATGTATTGGATAACACAGAAAATGGCACTTTAGGATGGCAGAACAAACCTTAGCTTTAAATACTTCCACAGTATTATTATTAACAACCCTTTAGACAAGTCTCAAAGTTCAAACTCAAAAATTCTTTCCTTTGTATTTAGAAGAAATACTCGTAGTGGTTTCATTAATGTTTAGTGCAAGTCCACATACCTTAAAACTAATATTATGTAAAAAAGATCAGTTCTATTTTGCAACTGGAGGAAATGTTGTACCTCATATCATAATTATGTCCTCAAATGCTAGAAAGAACTTCCACTGCCATAATAATTAATGAAAACAAACAAAAATCTCCTGCATGTACTGTTCTAACATGAATACTGTAAATGTTGGAGATTACCCAAAAACAACCATTTCAGCAAATATTTACAACTATGAGAGATTGTATATTTTATTTAGGTTTGGTCTTGAATGAGAGCAATCACAGGCCTAATATCATCTGCTATTAAGTATCTCTACACTTAGGTAAAACAGAGACACAAAATTATACTGTGGAATTTCCAAAGTGAAGTATAAAATTTTTGACTGTGGCAATCCCAAGAAGACAAAATACTAATAAGATAAAGAAGATGTAGATATAAATGGAAGATGTACAGAGGTTTTTTTACAGTACTTAATGATATAATTGCTTAACAAGATAAAGATGTTACATAATATTGTTTCGGCAACAGGAGTTTGAGGGTCACATTAAAAATCAAGATGATTTTCTATTTAACAATGATGCAAGGTAAGATGGAGTCAAACTTGGTTTAAAATTGGATTTTACAAAGGTAAATTCAGATTCAAGACCACTAACAAATGGCATTCAGACAATTGTCTGACCCATGATTTGAAGGTACAATCCAAAAATTCAATTGTGTGAGCATGAAGAGGGAAAATTAAATAATGTGAAAGTTTAACCTGAAACTGCTGTACATGGCATATTTTGACTACACACATAACTGGGAAATCAAATAAAATTCCAGAAGATTGCTGATAATTAAGCCCCTCTACATATAAAGATGTAAACAATAAGGGCAAATTTCAAATTAAATTGACATTGAAACTTGGCATCTACATGTACATTACTGGTGATTTCAAAATGCAAGTGTATTTTATTTCCGAAGTAATTCGTAAATATACCCTTTGACATTGTCAGAAACCCCAGAGAACAGACAAAAGTTCTGGTCGTCAAGCCATTTTCTGCGAAGCCTTGTGTGTTACCTATCCACCGAATACCAGCATTACATGATCGCTTGAAATCGTGTTTTCCACCAATGTTCTTCTAATTACGTAGATCATTAAACTTGAAATATTTCTTTACACGGCAGAAATTGAACCACAATTGTTTCGAGGAAATGGGCCTACTTTAATCCAAGAAAGCATCGCAGCAAAGCTTAATTTAGGAACTCCCGAGTATAACTTTACTTTAGCATTTCAAATCACCAGTGACAAATAGGATGAATGCCATAATATATTACATGTCTCCGTAAAATTAGGTAAGATATACCCGAGTTTAACCCAAAGCGATCAAGATTCTCGGTTCTAAATTCGAACATCTATACTACGCAAACGCTGAGTAATCCAGAAGTTTCGGACTAACACAATAAGAAGTAATAGACGTACGGTCAAGTAGCACGTAGGCCTGTGTCTGAGTAAAAAAACAAACATTCCGTACTAAAAGCCCAGAACACGAAGGAAAATGAGAACGGAAATCAGACAACACCGTCAAAACATTATGAACAGATTCAAAACAGCTGAATGCCACAGCTAATGAGCCCTATAATAATAATTCTGCTAAAAATTCCTGTATTCTTCTGGATTCGTAAGGTACGTACCTCTCGAGTATCAATTGATTTTGGAACGTGTGTGTTATTCTCCGTACTTTGCTTCGACCGCTTCTTCCGCCGTTTGTTGTTCTTCTCGTTACAACTCATAGCGACGAACAGCTTGGCAAGAGAAATTTCCTTGATAAAAGATACAGATGATTATTCTGATTTACCTCTAACCCAAGGCTTCGTCTTATCTGACAGACAAGAAACCAAAACAGGAGGACATTGATTCCCACACTTTCTCACTGAAGCCACACATCAAAATGGCGCCCAGCATTCCCAAGATGCCAATCGATCTTGGATTACAAGGGATTGTGGTTCTTTCAATCGCGGAAGGGCCGGGGTTCATGCCATTTGCGAGAGATCTGGGGCGGACATGGTTCGCGCGCCATTGCCGACTTTCATATCGTGAGAG